GGGAAGGAGGAGATGAGGGGGAGGAGGTGGTGATGAGGTGGGAGAAGGAGATGAGGAGGAGATGAGGTGGGGGGAGGAGATGGAGAGGAGGAGGCAGAGATGTGGGAGTAGGATGTGGGGGGAGGAAGAGATGTGGATGTATGAGGGCGAGGAGGAGATTGGGGGGAGGAGGTGGTGATGAGGTGGGAGGAGGAGGTGGGAGAAGGAGATGAGGAGGAGGAGAAGATGAGGTGGGAGGAGATGAGGCAGGGGGAGGAGTTGCACAATCAGAACAGAAGCTTATACATTGTCCCCTTTAGACCCGGCCACGTACGGTGTACACGGCTGGTGGCCACATTCTGATGATGACGTTCTTCCTCTTTCGGGGGTTGTCGTCCTTCGTCGGGGTTTCATGATATGGGCAGTTGAGATGCAAATAGCGCCAAGCGGGGTTCTTCCGAGTCTTTGATATATTGCTGGAGACGGCTGCAGGTTTCTTCGAGAAGCAGGAAAAGGAAAGAGGCGCCATTGTGATAACGAGTTCTCGATAACGTAGAAATAATTTGCATATTTGTGTCCCGCCTCCATCCGCAGAAATCTCAGGTGGTGTCAGCCCAAAGGAGGAGAAATCTTCCCAATTTCTAGGAGTTTCCCGAGGTAAGAAAAGTGCCGACACAGAACCAGACAAAGCCGCGGAAGGTTCTGCTGGAGGCGCCTGGAATCTATTTCCCCCATTTGGGGTCTTGGGTCTGATGAACATATAATAGTCTGTCCTTGAGGTCTACGTGGGCTGTGGTTCTTCAGGACAAAGTCACATGATCTGCGATTAAGGGAAGGAGGTCACGACGATGAGAACGTACTCTTGGCGGCGTCTTCTTCTCACAGTAAGAAGCACGGATTCTTCTTTTTTACCGGATTTGGGTTGAGGACGGCTCGTACGGACTCGGCAAAAACCTCCTTGATGCCATCTTGGTTCAGGGCCGAGCACTCCATGTACTTCACTGCATGGATTTGCTTGGACAAGCTGACGCCCTGTTGGTAGGTGATTGGGAGCTGGTTCTGCTCCTTTAGCTTTTTGATGAGATCGGGGTTGTTTCTTAGATCCTTCTTGGTGCCCACCAGGAGGATGGGAACGTTGGGACAATGGTGGCCCACTTCGGGATACCACTTGTGCTTTATATTCTCATAGGATGGTGGGCTGGCAATGGAGAAGCAGATGATGAAGACGTTGGTCTGGGGGTAGGACAATGTCCTGAGCCGGTCGTACTCTTCCTGGCCGGCCGTGTCCCACAAGTTTAGGCTCAGAGTTTTTCCATCCACGGTACACTGGGCACTGTAGTTGTCAAACACGGTGGGGATGTACTCCTTGGGGAAGGCATTGGTGGTGTAGCAGATGAGGAGACACGTTTTCCCGACAGCTCCGTCTCCGACCACCACACACTTAATGCTCTGCATCTTCTCTCTGGTGTCCAGTCTCAGCAACCTGGAAGAGAAAGGAAGAATGAAGTCAGGGGAAGGAAACTCCAACATATCTGCCTAGGCCAACCAACAGTGCCAGATCTTAGAACCATCATGGACACCGGCAGCAAGATACTGCAGAGTCTTACTCCTCTAGCGGAAGTCTCAGAAATTGAACTAACCCAACTCCTGACTAAGAGAAGAAGACTTCATCACCAGGGCTTCAGCTTGGAGGAGGAGCTGGGAAATCAGAGCTTGTAGAAGATTTTACCAACCTCCATCCACCCAAAATCTGACAATTGGGGAGTAGATCTATATCTGTATACAGATGTCATGAGGATAGTCGGTAACCATGCACAGAAAATATATCGGCACTTCCACAATCACCACGTCATGGACCTAGATGGATTCCCCATGGACATAGATGGATTCCCCATGGACATAGATGGATTCCCCATGGGCATAGATGGATTCCCCATGGACATAGATGGAGTCCCCATGGACATAGATGGATTCCCCATGGACATAGATGGATTCCCCATGGACATAGATGGATTCCCCATGGACATAGATGGATTCCCCATGGACATAGATGGATTCCCCATGGACCTAGATGGAGTCCCCATGGACATAGATGGAGTCCCCATGGACATAGATGGATTCCCCATGGACATAGATGGAAGTTGATGGTGGTGGTCAGTTATGCTGCTACTACAGAGAAGTGGGGGTCAGTGCCAGTAAACAGGTTTTTATGGGGCCCCATAAGCCTTGTCACTCTAGACTTGAGCCTTCACGGCCGACCCCAATGGTGGTGGCAGTAGTGGTGGATCATAGTTGTTGAACATGTTATGTCAGCAGACGGCGTCCACCGCGACCGTTCTCATGGAGTTTATAGGAATTGAAGAACTTCCATATCAGAAAAAAATTTCCTTTCATATTTTCCCGGAAAAAAAATAAAATGGCTGCTTGTGAGGAGCCGAATGTTCGTAGGAGCAGAGCGCGCTGCCCGTCAGCCACCCCTCCGAAAACCGGAACGCCAAACTCTACCCAAGACACGTTCACCATCAACTCAATCAGCCTTTGGTGAATCAAATCCAGGAAGATTCACTCAGTCCCAATCCTCTATAACCCCCTGAGAGAAAGTAACGGACCCTCAGATCTCCAGAAGAGCGCCCTGAGTTTTCTGGTCCTACCCCAAACCCTCCTCAAACTAACCCTCCCTGTGGCCCCAACACTGACCCTCTCTGTGGCCCCCAACACTTACCATCCCTGTGGCCCCCAACGCTAACCCTCCCTGTGGCCCCCAACGCTAACCCTCCCTGTGGCCCCAACACTAACCCTCCCTGTGACCCCCAACACTGACCCTCTCTGTAACCCCAACTGTGAACTTTGTCGGTCATGGTTGGGAGATCTCATGGTGTCCTGGGATGGGGGGGTCGGTGAACCCTGGCGGTCATGGTTGGAGATCTCATGGTGTCCTGGGATGGGAGGGTCAGTGAACCTGGGAGGGGGGG